ACATCATTGCTTTTCAGTACTCTGGAGAGATCCCTGACAGCAGATTTTCCCAGTGCAATTTGTCTTGATTTCCTGACTGCTGGTGCCAAGGGTGTTAATTGTAGAGCCAAGTAAGCTGTAACTGTTAACAACCTCAATCTCTACTCTATCATGGTGCTGCCAATTGGTCCAGTGGTAAGAATCTTTGTTTTCTTGATGTTGAGCTTATTAGTGATACTGTTCGATAATTTCTAAACTAGATGGTCCCTAACAACAAAAACAGCTTAATTCAAATGACTACATCTATCCACAGGTATGTTTAGTTGTGCAGGGTTCTTTTACAAGTATGAAACTGAAAATGAATGAGGAAATACTAGTTATTATTGAAAAACAAAAATATTCCACACTCCCTACACCCAGCGCTGCTGATTCCCACTCAAGGTAAAGCTCAGAGATTCTCAGGCTGTAAATTTTAAATGAGGAAAGCACCTCCTCCCCTTCCTTGGAGGGGCTGCCTGGTGGGCTCACGAGCAGGCTTTTAGCTCAGATGCAGATGTTCAATCATGGTCAAAAACATGGAAATCCTACCTCTATGCCTATGGCTACTTGCCATACAGTGGTTACTTGTGGTTGCTGTGAGGCTGAACACTGTGACACTGATGTGCCAAATGCGTTAATGGTTACCCACAGTGGACAGTGTTTGGTGGAGCTCCCCGATTAAAACAAGCTTGGAAGCAAGAGTGCCATCCACTTCCATAATAGCTTGCCTCTGGAAACCCTATGACACTGGAGAAAGGATGAAAGACACCCAAGCACTGAGGACTCTCCTTCACAGGGTTGCTATGAGTCGCCTGAGACGTGACAGCACTTAACAACAACATGCCTATGGCCAATGTCCCATTTGAAAATTAGTTGCGTGTGTTATGCTGTTAAAGCAGAACTGAGTTAGTGTCCGACAAAATATGACAGGAGCAGATCAACCTGCAAGGAAGTAGGAAACAGGAGACAGGGGCCTTCTACTGATGCCACTAGCACCAGCCAAGAGCTGGGGTTCTGACTGCCTTCCTATCTGCTAAACCAGCCATGCCTGCCAACACCTTGCACTTGACGTAGCTGCTGTACCGATCATAGGACACATTTCTCTCGTAAGTGTATGAGTATTTGCTATTTCCTCCCTCTCCTTAGGAAAATTAGCAGTTTAAGCTGACAGGTTTATGATTCACTTTGGCTTAGTTTTTATTATGATAGAAGCTCTGATGGTTTAGTGGATGAGGAGTTGCACTGCCAACCAGAAGGTAGGTGGACTTGGTTCAAGTCCACCAGTTCTTACACGGGATAAAGGTAGACCATCATGTCCTGTGGAATTCACAATCTCTGAAAAGCCAATGGAGGGTCATGAGTCAGCGGGCGGTGTTAGGTGGGGGTCAGGGGATACTCCTGTCATCGGAGAGTTACCTGCTATTGAAGCATCCTTTGTTGACAGACTATCGTGTCTCATTAAATAAATTTCCCCACCATAATAAAAATGTGATCATATAGGGATGATTTTCTCTGCTCTTCTAATCTTTACCCCAGCATCATGCTGTTACTTGGTTGTCCGGTATGTGCTGAAATAAATAAAAACTTGATCATATAAGGGAGCTCTGGTGGCCTAGTGACAAGAAACTGCACTGCAATCCCAAATGCACGCAGTTCGAATCCACCAGATGCTCTGTTGGAGAAGGAACAATCTCCTCCTGTGCCAGCTAGATCTGATTTAACGGTACACAACAAGAAAAAACAATAAGTAAAATCAAGTAATGGGAACGATCACACCAAACAGTGTGAATGAAGGAATGTGTGAAACATAAGGTATACGAATTCTGTATGCAAACTGATATAAAAATAATTTTTTAAAAAATGTGATCACATATGGGCGATTTACTGTGCTCTCCTAATCTTTACCCCAATGTTATGCTGTTACTGTGGTTGTACAGTATGTGCTGGAATCAGGTAAGTTAGTTGCTTCCGTTATCTTTTCCAGATCATCTTGTCAATCACTGAAAAATAAAAACCAGCCCTCCTTAGGTCTGCTGATCAATCTGAGAACCAACTTTCAAAAAATTCAGTCTTCAATTCTTGAACTTACTCCTCTCAAAGCTACAGGTCCACCTACAAGGAAGAGCTGTCTGTGTCTACCCACTTTCACAGGAATGCTTGGCAGTTTTATTCCCAATTCTCTAGCAGGTAAGGCAGGAACCCAAGTGTTTTATCGCAAAGTAAATGAATTAACAACAATGGTATATTCATACAATGGACTACTACTCAGCAAACTAAGGAAACACACAACTCCAGTAACTTCGCAAACACGCAGAAAAAGAGCTGTCACACACTCCAAGACTTTACTGACATCATGCTCTAAGACAGGGAGGTCTCCTCTCCTGTGACAGTCAGGAGCCTGGCCCTGCACCGGGACAGAGCAGACTTCTTGGGGTCATGAACACATCACCTGTCTAGATTGTGGCTCCTGTAGGGGGTTATGCACTTATTCAAACTCAGACATCACACTGAAAATGGGTCGCCTGCTCTATAGAAATTATCTGGTAGTGTGATTCTATGCTCTTTAGAAATCTCTGCTCACAGAGAGGGTTTTGTTCTTCACCCCACACCCCCGAAACCCAAGTCCTGAACCACTGTGGGGGCTGGACAGTGATCCCTTGCCATCTGACGAACACTCGGAAAAGGGGAGAGCATAAGATGTGATCACAGATCCCCATCCCGGCATGGATCTGCTGGGAGGCATTTCCCTGGGCTACAGCCTGTACCACCTTTTCTCACAAAACGGTGAGGCAGAAGCAAGCAGGCCACCCCAGGGTCACCAAGAGCCCGGAGTGGGGCATGTCCACGGGCCTGCGAGCCCACACTGTGAAGCTTATTGACACAGTAAGAGCCATGACACAGCAGATCTTCATGGAGTGCTGGGCCCAAAGATACTGGAGGAAACGAGGACTTGTCTCCAGAAATGACGCTTTTCCCTCAAGCTAGCACCCTACATTTTTAGACTCCCAAAAACTGTAAGAAAAATCCCCCACTCGTGTTATCTGCTGGAACAGCACTAGCTATCTGAGAATTGTATGCTGCCCCCCCCACCCCCGATCTTCTAGAGCTGAAGGAATTTGAAGAACTCAAAAATATCCACATCTGGGGAACTAGTATTTGAAACTGGCTGTCTGGGTTAATATCTTAAGAAACCTAGAGGCAAAGGCCAGCACCGCCTATCTGCTCAGCAGTCCTCCCCCATTTCCAACACTGCCATGCTTGTCTTGACACAGGGCCCCTGGCAGGTCAATCTTCCTCCTCTGCCTGATAACCTGTCTCAATGGCCTTGACTGGCTTCCGAGCTGTGAATCTCTACAGGGGACTGGCCTCTTTCCCCTACAGAAGACTTCATGAGCTAGCACCGCGGCCACTGGGTTAGCAGCCAATGAGAAGCCAGCAGGCTTTTTTATCTACCCCTAGGCGAGTTCCGATGTCACTTGCCCTGGCATGCTCCCCAATCCTAATGACTAATATCTGCACCTATGTTCCTGTTGCGAGGTGCCAGGAGGAACTGTCTATTTCAGAGTGGCCCCTGGGTGTGACAGGACCAGCCACTACATGGGCCCGTCACCCTCACGATCTCTGCTTGTATTACTGTCCAGCTACTCAGGGTCTCCCTCTCCATTAGATTCATGCCATCTCTGCTTCTACACCACTAACGTACACTTGTTTTAGTCCTGGCTCCTGGGACCTTCCTGCCCTCCCCAATAAACTTGAGGTGACTTGATGACAGTGGCTCTCTTTTCTCCCAGTATCTAGCACTTGTCCTTGTACATAACATCTTATTAGAGTGCTGGAAGGAGCTAGCCAGTAGGGAAAGTAACGCAGTAGCTGAATTCAGGAGGTTCCCCTCCTTGGTAGCACAGAACCAAGTTACATAGTTGGTAGGGTTTGGGAGTCTGAGGATCCAGCCACCAACAAGCAGAAACAGGCCAACCCTCTCCAAACAGGAGGAGTCACAGGTGTGGCCTAAAGGCATTGCATGGGACAGCTCATCTCCTGGGGACCATGTGCAGTTTCTGAGCTACCCAGGGAGAGGAGACAACATAGGGTGGGGGAAAGACACTGCCAACAAACAGCAGATTGTAGTGATGGAGGCTAAACCGCACACCCAGAAACTGTCCAACAGCAGTTTGTCAGATACAGCGAGACGCTGGGTTGTCTTTTATTACCTTTGTGCTAAACGTGAGGGCACAGAATTGAACCAGGCATGTTTGCTTTCCTCCAGAACATGCGGGGTGAGGTGGTACCTGACAACCCGCTGAGTGACCGGGGTGAAGTGGAGTGAGAGGTGCACACTGAGCACACACACCTGGGAGAGGGACGCAGCGAAGCCTGATGGGAAGTTTCCTTGACATGATAAAGGGAAGTGAAGGAGAGAAGGCCCTGCAAATGGGCAGAGGTCAGGAGGAAGGTGAGAGGCTGGAGGATGTGAAAACGTTAAGCAGTGCTGCTGTGGCAGGACCTATCTGGTGTGAGCGAAGGTCGAGGAAGGAGGACGTGGAATCCATGCTCACAAGTCTGGACTTCATAAGAAGGAAAACAGGGGACTAGCCACAGTTTAAAACACAACATATCATTCTCCAACTGCATTTTTGACAAAACAAAATTTGCCAGGTAATACTTCTAGACAATAGAAGTAGATACATAAATCCACTCTTAAAGGGAGACAACTCAAGAATGACTGCAATTTTGAAATAAAATACAGACACTTTCTCTCACTCTGTCCCCTCTCCTGCCTTGTCCAGCTCAGAGTCAGCTGCAAGTCACATGGCGCTCTCCAGGACAAGCCTCTGGCTGAAGAGCAGAGCAATTCAGCAATGCTGCACAGTGGTGCCGATGCAGTTACCAGCTGTGCCCCAGGGAGGCCGATGAAGCCAGATCCCAGAAGCCATGTGATGATTCCCTCGTTTCCAAGCATCATTCATTGAGTTGAAAAAGAATTATTTTTCCAAGTTCTCAGTAAGCTGCCCTGGACATATAGACTCCACATCCAAATGTATGGGTGCTTTACTTAAGTCAAATCCTTCTTTGGGAATACCTTGATTGTTTTTAAAGTTCGAGATCAGATGAAAATCTCTCTCATACTGACTGCACTCATAGAGCTCCTTCTCTTCTGCATGAAGTTTCTGATGCTGGATGAAGTTTGACCTCTGAATAAAGCCTTTCCCACAGTGACTGCACACGTAGGGCTTCTCCCCGGTGTGAACGACCTGGTGGAGCAGCAGCTTGGAGCTCTGGATGAAGGCTTTCCCGCAGTCCTTACACTCAAAGGGCCTCTCCCCTGAGTGGATCTTCTGATGCTCAGTCAAGTGGGATTTCTGCAAAAAAGCCTTCCCACATTCTTTACACTCGTACACTCTCTCCCCAGTGTGAATTTTCTGATGTCGGATGAGGTATGAACTCAGAAAGAAAGCCTTCCCACATTCATCACACTCAAAGAGCTTCTCTCGGGTGTGAATCCTCTGATGCTGAGTGAAGTTCGAGGTCTGGCTGAAGCGCTTCCCGCATTCCTGACACACGTACGGTCTCTCCCCAGTATGAATTCTCTGATGCTGGATCAGCTTGGAGCTCCGGATAAAGGCTTTGCCACACTCACTGCATTCAAAAGGCCTTTCTCCAGTGTGGATTCTCTGGTGCTCAATGAGGTCTGATCGGTGCCGGAAGGCTTTCCCACACTCTTTACACTCGTACTGCTTCACTTCCGTGTGGATCTGGTAATGGCGGATGAGGCTGGAGCTCCGAATGAAGGACTTGCCACACTCATTACACTCATAGGGCCGCTCTCCCGTGTGGATCCTCTGATGGCGAATGAGCAGAGAGCTCTGACTGAAGCCCTTGCCACATTCCTTGCATTCATAAGGTCTCTCACGGGTGTGAACTCTCTGGTGTTGGGTGAGGTTGGAGCGGTGGCAGAAGCCTTTCCCACACTGAGCACATTTGAAGGGTTTCTCTCCGGCATGGACTCTCTGATGGTCAGAGAGGCTCGTGTACTGCAGGAACTGTTTCCGGCACACGCTGCACGCGTACAGTCTCTCTCCAACATCACTCCTCTGGTGCTCAGCCAGGTGTGAGCTCTGACTGAAGCCTTTCCCACAGGGATCACATTTGGGAAGGTTCTCCCGGCTGTGAGAGAGCTGATGTCTCATCAGATCTGAATGAAAAGTGAAGCCGCTGCCACCAGTGTCACATGGGTGACCCTCCCCTTCTCTGAGTTCTCTCTGAAGTACAAAAAGGTTGGAGTTGAGAACAGGGCTTCTTCCTGACTTGGTGCACATCTGGGCTGTCTCTGCCACCTGTCTGAAAGGTGGCTCCTGAGCAGGGGCATCCCTCAGGCTCTGTCCTGGGCACTCCAGCAGTCCCTCTAGGGGGAACTCAGAGACCTCCTTGGACTCACAGGCCAAGGTCTCCATCACTAAAAGTTGTTCTGATAGTGCCGTAGTTGAACTTCCATCCTCAGAAATTCAAGCTTTTGAACCGGCTTCTCATCACCAGTTGCTCTCTTAGAATCTGAAATGAGAATAACAAGATCATCTCTGTTCTTTGTTAACAGAGGACAGATCACCAACCAGGAAGTAGGAGGGGAAAATCCTGCCTGGTGCCCACAAGGTGACCCAGGAAGCACTGGACTTTCAGACTCTCACTGCACCCGGACCAACGCTTTTGCTCAGGACAGTGTCCTCTCTGGCCACACTTCTTAACAAGTTAGCTCCCAGGGGCAGGACAGGACCTGGTGACTAAAACTTCTCTGACCGACAAGGAATCTGGTATTTCAACACCTGCCACTCACAGTGGACGGGTCCAGCGTTCCCAGATTGAGAGACCCTGGGAAGAAGGAGCTGGCAACTTACTTCATGGGGCTAGAGGCCACGCATGTGGTGCCTGCAGGGAGGCCTTGGAAATGCACTGGGGAGAGTGGTCTCCTCAAAGCAGAGCCGACCCTAATCACAAGGGGGACCAAAGCCTGCAGGACCCTCAGCTACCTGGCACTGCTCAGTGGAACAGAACCAGCTGTAAATATCGGTTAGTAATTGGAACATGGAAAACACAAAATCTGAAAAGGAGAACTGAACATTTTCCAAAACTCAATGCTTGAAAATAGATATCCTAGGCATTAGGGTACTGAAATGGACTAACGCTGGCCAGCATGTGGTCTACAATGACAGACAGAACAGGGTGATGTCACATTCATTGTCAAAAAGAACACTGCAAGATCTACCTTGAAATACATTGTCAATTGGAAGGTAATATTCATATGCTTTCAAGGAACACCAGTTTTTAAGACTGTCTCAATTGAAACACCAAGCATTAATGTCCAGGATGAAGAATCTGAAGGCTTTTACCAAGTTCTGTAGTCTGAAATTGACCAAACACATTATAAAGATGCACAACAAACTTCTCGTGAATGGAGTGCGAAAAGTAGGAAAAAAGGGAACTGCAGTCGAGAAGCATGGCCATGCTAACAGAGGCGACACAGATGATCAGAACACAATTTTGCAAGACCAGTGACTTACGCGCTGTAAGGACCTTTTTCAACAACACAAATGGCACAGCAATAACCAACGGTTCTGTCTGCACAGGAATCCAGGTGACCACATCTATGGAAAAGCTGACAGAAGATCTCATTATCCTAAGTCTGACTAAGGCCACAGCTGACTGGAAATGATCAACATTCACTCTGCAAATCCCAGCTGAAGCTGAAGAAAATGAAGACAAGTCCAAGAGAGCCAAAGCAGAGCCACAAGTCATGGCCTCTCCAGGTGGCTTCTCATAAAGGAGTCCTGCAGTTAGAGGGAGCCTGTCCAGTTACCAGCATCCCCCACTTTTCAAGTTTGCTTTTACGTCACTTTACTTTTACAAAAGACCTACATTTATCCCCATTTTCACACACTGAGAGGAGTCCAGAGACCTACATTCACCCCATTTTCACCAAAGAAAAGAATTCCAAAGAATTCTTGCTTTTATGAAAAAGATGCAAAATGAAAACAGCACTGGACATTTGTTTCACAGTGAGATATAAAAAAGCGGTGCACATACACAGCTGCACAAAAGTGACGCCAAAGAGCAGTCTGTAAGTACACACTGCAAGAGAACCCCAAGCCTGCTTCTGCAGAATTGCTCACAGAAGACACCTCACCACCACATGCCTGTCCATTTGAAGGTGGTAAACTGAGGAAGTTCCCTCACACAGGAGGGCTAAAGCCAAGGAGAGAGAACTGCCTGACCAGTGTCACTGAGGAGCCAGGGTGAGGCAGACACACAGGGTTCCTTACCCAGGAGAAGGTGATGGCCAGTGGGGCATGGGGTACCTCAGGGGCTGTAGTGCCTCCACTGTCCCTACAGCCATTGCTGTAAATCCGGCTCTTCTGCATGATGCTGTGTTGTGATATGCCATCAAGTCAATTCATCATGACCCCATGAACAAGAGATCTGAGCCCTGCCCTATTCTGCAACTCCGTCATGTTCAAATCCACAGGGGTAATCATTGTGTCAACTACTCTTGGTCAGGGTTTGCCATCTTCACTGACTCTCTACCTTTCCAAGCACAATGCCCCTCTCCAAGAACTGGTCCCTCCCTGACACGCTCAAAGTGCAACAGTTTCATCACCTTTGCCTCTGAGGAGCATTCTGATTTCATGTCCTTCACAGATGTGTTTGTTCTTTTGGCAGCCCACAGAGTTTGAAAAATATATGGACAGTATACACACCGTCTTGTTGTTGTTGTTATATGCCATAGAGTCATTTGTGACTCATAGCGACCCTATGTACAAGAGCCCTAAACGCCATTCTATCCTGTGCCAATCTCGCTGTCTCAAACACACTCATTCCCACCACTCCACTCACAGAATCGATCCATCTCATCGAGGGTCTTCCTCTCCTGTGTCGTCCCTCAACTCTCCCAAGCATGATGTCCCTCTCCAAGGACCAGTCCCTCCTTGCAACATGCCCAAACTATGTCAGACGAGGCTTCAGAATCCTTGACTCCAGGGAACATTCTGGCTTCACCCTCTCCGGGACAACCCTGTTTGTTCTCCTCGCAGTCCATGGTATGTATATTCAATACTCTTCTCCAGCACCACAACTCAAAGGCATCAATTCTCTTTCTATCATCCCTATTCACTGTCCAACTCTCTGATAAACAGCATGTAATGGCAAAGACTATAGCCTGGATCAGGCACACCTTAGTCTCCAGCCTGACGTCGTTGCACTTCAGTACTCTTGAGAGGTCCCTCACAGCTGACTTTCCCACTACAATTCATCTTATGATTTCCTGGCTACTGTTACCAAGAGTGTTGACTGTGGAGCCAAGCAAACTAAAACTGTTAACTATCTCAATCTCTTCACCATCCATACTGATGCTGCCAATTGGCCCAGTGGTGAGAATCTTTGTTTTCTTGATATTGAGCTTCAATCCATATTGAAGACTGCAGTCCTTGACCTTCTGCAGCAAGCGCTTCAGGCCTCCTCAGTTTCAGCAAGCAGGGTTGTGTCATCTGCATAACGCAAGTTGTTGCTGATTCTTCCACCAATCCTGATGCCACATTCCTCCTCATACAGCCCAGCGTCTCAGATGATCTGTTCTGCATACAGATTGAAAAGGTATGGAGACAAAACACAGCCCTGACGGACCCCCTTCTTGATTTTGAACCAACCAGTGTCTCCCTGCTCTGTTCTGACGAGTGCCTTTTGGTCCAAGGATAGGTTTCGTATTAGCACAATCAAATGTCCTGGGACTCCCATTCTTCTCAGAGTCAGCCACAGCTTGTTGTGATCCAGTCAAAAGCCTTTGCATAGTCAATGAAGCACAGATAGACATTCTTCTGGTATTCTTTGCTTTCTGCCAAGATCCATCTTACATTAGCTATAATATCCCTAGTACCACGACCTCTTCTAAATCCAGCCTGCACATCTGGCAGTTCTCTATTGACATACTGTTCCAAATGTCTTTGGGATAATTTTCAGCAGAATCTTGCTTGCATGTGATATCAATGATATTGTTTGATAATTTCCACACTCTGTTGGGTCACCTTTCTTTGGAATGGTAATAAGTATCGACCTCTTCCAGCCAGTTAGCCAGCTGGCTGTCCTCCAGATTTCCTGGCACAACCTAATGAGCACATCCAGGGCAGCATCTGTTTGTTGAAATAAATCAATTGGTATGCAGTCAACTCCTAGGGCCTTGTTTTTTGCCAATTCCTTCATAGCAACTTGAACTTCCTCCTTCATCACCATAGGTTCTTGCTCATATGTTATTTCACGAAATTCCTCTGTGTCAGCCAATTCCTTCTGATACAGTGACTCTGTGTACTCCTTCCATCTTCTTTTTATACATCCTGGATCATTCAACATTCTACCCAAACTATCCTTAAGTATTGCCACCCGTGGCTTGAATTTGTTTTTCAACTCCTTCAGCTTAAGAAACGCTGAGCGAGTCTGGCCCTTTTGATTTTCTGACTCCAGCTCTCTGCACATTTCATTATAGTATCTTGCTTTGTCGTCCCGAGCTGCCTTTTGAAATGTTCTATTCAGCTCTTGTGCATCCTGCCTAGAGCTCCCTGCAGAGCCAGGACCACTCTCCATCCTGTTCTGGGACTCTTGGGTGGGTACCTCTCCCAGGAAAGGGTACTATCTGAGCCATCACCGCTGCCTGGCCACCCTAAACAGCACCCACTTAACACTGTCTAGTCAGGGGCCTCTGCTCAGGCTCACAGGGCTGCCACCAGGCCCACCTGGAGGGTCCCTATCACCCAGAGGGTCCCCGTCACCGAGAGGGTCCCCAGGCTGCTCAGCTGTTCTCTGGGAAGGTGGATCTGAGGTCCCGGTTTCTTGGCCAGCTGTCCACCAGGAGCTGACCCCACCTTCAAAGTAGGACACTGCTCAAAATGGTCAGCTCACCTGACCCTAGCACACCCGCATGACCCCTCAATACACCAAGACTGGGCAGCTCAGTTGCCCCCTTAGAAGGCTGCCAACCACTAGAAACCAGCCACAGCTCCCCCAATCAAATGAGATACCAAAGCTCTCTCTGCAGTCACTGCTGTCAAGTCACCTTCAAAGACCTGCTAGACACAAGTCCCCACCCCAGTCCATCAAAGGAACCAATCCCACACCACTCCCCCGAGCCCGCCCACTCCCCCAGGCCCCATCCACAAGCTCTGCCCACACTTTGCCTCCCCGCCTACTTGCACCAGTGGACCCACCCTGCACAGACCCAGCAAGCATGAGCCAGTGGACAAGCGGACAAAGCTGTGTCCCTCAAGGAATGGGGGGAGGGAGGCGAGCCAGAAGTAGCATCTGGACTTCACCCAGGCCTGCAAGCTTTTCCAGAGGCAGGAGCAGGGCCGAGCAAGGTACCCCACCGTGCGAGTTCGCACCCACACAGCTCGCCCATCATAGCACGAAGCCTGCCACTCACTCCTTGTTCTCCCCACCAGTATCCCTTACAAAGGTCAGCTCTGTACTGTAAAATCCAGCTGGTTTGAGGGATCTTCTAAATGGAGCCAGTTAATTTTCCTTAAGATTCCTTCTCAAATGCCCCAATTTTTAACTAAAACACAATTTGCACATCATGAAGCCCACCCCACCATTTCACAAATGGGCATCCCCAGACTGAGTGCCATCATTCAGTCCAGGACCGTCCTGCCTGGCTGTCCATCAGCCTGGGCCAGGTTGGGCTGCTGGGGCCTAGCTGCTAGCCATAGCACTCTCTCTCCCCTGAGCTGTCAGAAGGACCCACCCCCACAGTGGTCCCCTGTACTCATCATCAGCAACTGGCTTCTGCTTTAGGGTAACAGCAAGCAGAGCTGGTCTGGCAGGTGTGGGATCAGAAGACAGTTCATGAAGGGCTTCATTCTTGGGAAGGTGGAGGCTCAGAGGAGAGGAAGACCTTTAATACATGGACCAACACAGTGACAACAGTGGACTGGAGCAGAGATGGTGCTTATGGTGCAAGACCGGGCAGGGCTGGGCCGCAGGTGTGTACATTTTCTATCACCATGAGTTGGACAGCACCCCACAAGCAGCGGCTGGCAGGATGGTACCTCCTGAGGCCCAAACACAGACCTCTGTCCAGTTCCTGTCCCACCAGGAAGCTCATGCTATGGCCAGCCTCCTGATGCATTGGGAGGAGGGCCAAAGGACTCCAGGACCCAGCCAGCAGCAGGACACAAGTGCCCCTGTGGGGCAGAGGGTCTGGGTGCACAGGGTGGATGGGGGGTCAGTTCACTGTCCCCAGGCTCAGAAGACTGCACTGCCTAGTGTCCTGGGAGGGGCGTGGTGGGTGGCTAAGGCTTGCAGGTGACATCTGTCATCCCTGGAGAGCCCCTGGTGAGGCTGAACTGGCACCAATCATGGCAACAGGGCATCCCCCAAGAGGCAGAGCAGCCAGGGTTCCTGAAGGACCCAATGGTGGACCCCTTGCCCACTGAGCTAAGGGGGAAATCTCAGCTGCATCTACACTTTGCAAGTCTCATCACAACTCCATCCTTCAACAGTGCAAACCAGAAAACCTCGAGAGATGTTCCTGCCATTGAGACAGCCAAACCTCGCACACTAGCAAGGGGCAGGGCACGGAAGGTTCTACGGGACTGCTGGTCCCCTGCTCACTGTCCACCAGCGTGGGTTTTCCACTGTCACCTGGAGACAAATGCCTACCAACTTGGCTTTTAAAAAGTCCTTCTCCAGCTTAAAAAATATATATAAAATAAATATATAATATATAAATACTTCTTTCCTTAAGAGGTACAACTGAATGATGAGGACTAAATGAGACGGTAGAAACTTTTAAAAAGTCCAAGATTCGGAACATCCCCAGAGCAAGCTCTTCCTCCGGATCCTTTTGGAAGCTTGTTACTGTGTGGGGTCAGGACACTGTTCACATTCTATCCAACTTTATACTTTGATATCTTTTTAAGTCCATGATTAAAATATAAACTTACTGTCAAGGACTGTTTCAAGAAATACAAGATGCACTGTAAAAAGAGCTCAAAAATAAATTATAAAATGAAATAAGTGTAAAACCCTAGCAAGTCAATAGGTGACCAGCTAGCTGTTGAACTGAAACATGTCTGCAGGCCTTTTCTCCTCTTACACAAGGTGACTTTCTGCAGAAACACCATTTTCAGAGTGGAGACAGGACTGCACCACACTGTTCACCTGGATCCTGCACTCCCACAAGCCTCCCACACTGCCCCTGGCCCCCAGCATGTGCAGATGGGGGGTCTGGTTACTGAGGTGGGGCCAGAGAAACCTTGTGCCCATCTGGCTCAAGTTTCTTCCTGACACACCACCATCTTTCAGTCCAGGAGGTGGCAGATGTGAGGATGAATGGTCTGTACTGCCCCTTCCCAGAGCTGGCTGTCCCCTGGGACTA